TCGATGATCCCAGCAAAGTGTTCAAGGAGCTGGACAAAAACGGTTCTGGCTCAGTGACGTTCGACGAATTTGCTGCTTGGGCCTCTGCGCGCAAGTTGGACGTGGACGGTGATCCGGACAATGTGCCAGGCAGTTCCTAAGAATTCTTGTGAGTAACCGTGCCTGGTGCGCTAAAATGGGAATAATAATATACACATTGTTTTTTTTTTTTTCTTGCATAGCTTCCTTCCAGTTGAAGTCTTCTCTTATTTTGTTCATGTGAATTATCCTTATTGTTTAAACCGAGTCATTTTATTGTATCTCTTGCATGTTTCTTCACTTGTACACTGCAGTATTGCGTGTGAAAATTTCTCCCGTTGTATTTGTTGTTATTGTTTTGGTAATTTTTTTGTGACGCAAGGGAAGCAAAAAGAAGGCAAGGCAAAACAATAAGCGAAATAGATGGGGTCATCTTGCTCTAAAAAGGAACAAATAAAGAACGGGTTCACCAAGAAGGAGGGTAAGTCTGCCCAGGACCGCAAGGTTGCATGGGAGCGCATCCGGCAGGCAATTCCCCGTGAAAAGACACCTGAAGCGAAGCAGCGACGCGCCGACCTGTTTAAGAAGTTCGACAAAAACAATTCTGGGAAGCTGTCTTATGATGAGGTGTATGATGGCTGTTTGAATGTGCTGAAGCTGGATGAATTCACTACACGGCTACGGGACATCACGAAGCGTGCGTTCAACAAGGCAAAGGACATGGGTAACAAGGTGGAGAACAAGGGTTCTGAGGACTTTGTTGAATTCCTGGAGTTCCGTTTGTTTCTGTGCTACGTGTACGACTACTTTGAGCTGACAGTGATGTTCGATGAAATCGACACCTCCGGCAACATGCTGATTGATGAGAAGGAGTTCAAGAAGGCCGTGCCGAAGCTTGAAAAGTGGGGTGCTAAGATCGATGATCCCAGCAAAGTGTTCAAGGAGCTGGACAAAAACGGTTCTGGCTCAGTGACGTTTGACGAATTTGCTGCTTGGGCCTCTGCGCGCAAGCTGGACGTGGACGGTGATCCGGACAACGTTCCAGAGGCACCACAGGTTCCAGACGTGCCAGAAAGTTCTTAGAAAGTGTCATGTAATATAAATTATGTGTATAACAAGTGACGTATTGAAGTAATACTATGTTCTATGGTTTTTATGTATATACCAGTAATGGTTTCGTTTTTTTTTTGTTTGGTGACAGGGGGCAGGTTTTTTTTTTATAATCTTTTCGAATGACACCATGGTATGGTATGGTGTTTCCCACACTCAGACCTAGTGCGTACTCTTGTTTTCATGTAGCTATGGTACTGTTTTAAACATTTTCTCTCCCTCTCTTTGTTGTTGTAATTGTTTACTTGTAGTTGGCGACACAAAGCAAAAACAAAGTAATAAAGAAAAGCAAGAATAATGGGTTTATGTGGATCTAAGAACAGCACCTCCAGCAAGGAGGGTAAGTCTGCCCAGGACCGCAAGGTTGCATGGGAGCGCATCCGGCAGGCAATTCCCCGTGAAAAGACACCTGAGGCGAAGCAGCGACGCATCGACTTGTTTAAGAAGTTCGACAAAAACAATTCTGGGAAGCTGTCTTATAATGAGGTGTATGAAGGCTGTTTGAATGTGCTGAAGCTGGATGAATTCACTTCACGGCTACGGGACATCACGAAGCGTGCGTTCAACAAAGCAAAGGACATGGGTAACAAGGTGGAGAACAAGGGTTCTGAGGACTATGTTGAATTCCTGGAGTTCCGTTTGTTTCTGTGCTACGTGTACGACTACTTTGAGCTGACAGTGATGTTCGATGAAATCGACACCTCCGGCAACATGCTGCTCGATGAGAATGAGTTCAAGAAGGCCGCGCCGAAGCTTGAGGAGTGGGGTGCTAAGATCGATGATCCCAGCAAAGTGTTCAAGGAGCTGGACAAAAACGGTTCTGGTGCAGTGACGTTCGACGAATTTGCTGCTTGGGCCTCTGCGCGCAAGCTGGACGTGGACGGTGATCCGGACAACGTTCCAGGCAATTCTTAGGTGTTTTTTTTGTGTTTTACGTTCCTCGTGGGCTTCTTTTTTTTTTTTTTTGTTCTATGAAGAAATCATATGAAGTCTATAGTGCTTTATATTTTCTTTGTGGTTGTGTTTGTTTTTTATTTCTGTTTAAGAAGCGCTTTTGTGTGTTCTTTTTTTGCTTTTTTGGGCGCATATTTTGATTATTATTTTACTATATTAATATACAGGCACAAATCCGTTATTGTGTGGTGTACGGCTGTGAGATGGTGCTTTGGGCTTTTCAATAATAAAAAAGAGTATTGCTTCTTTATACACTGGTTGTAAAGGTTTTGAGATAGATTTCAATGATATACTATATAAGAAATGAATTTAATCAGGTGTTCTTTGTTTACTGTTTTTTTTTTTTTTGGAAGAATATATGGAAAAGAAATATGAGGATTCATGAACAGCGTTATTGGTATTTGTGAGGGAAAGATATTAAAAATACCATTGGTTCTGGAAATGGGTAATGAGGATCTGGAAGGTTCACTTTGGACCAGTATAATGATCCTTTTTGTGGGAGTACTCTTTACAATGTATATTGTAATGCCATTGACATTGTATTTTTCGAATGACTGTTCTTTTTTTTTCTTTTCCTTCTATCTCTTTTTTTGTTTTGATTTTTGAATGCCTTTATTATTGTAATTATTTTTAACTAGGTTTTTTTTTTTTTTTCGTGGCCTGTTCATTTGTCGTCTACGCTTTTTTTATTATTATTGGGTTTTTTTGATCCTTCTGTGGTGTTGCAGTTGCTGCGGTTTTTCTCTGTTGTTGACTGATAGGCATGGGCTGTTGCAGTTCCATGAGTGTCTGCGGGCAGGTCTACACAGAGATGCTGCGACGGCTGCGGGTGGAAGCAACACAGGAGATGGATGTCAACGCCTGCACACGACGAACACAAGAGTTCGAACGAATAGCATCAGGAGCTGTTAGCAACAATGTTGGTATTAGTAGTAGTGGTGCTGGTGCTAATGGGAATGGTAAGGGGAGATATTTATGTGTTAACGTGGAACAGTTACGAGCGTATGATCGGGATAATTGGCATCATACACGTATTCATGCATACAATGCGGTTCTTATGGTTGAGGCAGTGGAGGATATTGTTCATCTTGTGAATGAAATGTACTCAGAGAACCGTGTAGAGTTGCGACGATGTGATTATCGAATGTGGCTTCTATACATGTGCGAATTCTATCATGTGATGGAGGTATTTGAAAAGGCAAAACTACTAAAAGGAGGAAGTTGGGAAAATATTATCATTACACAGAAACAACTTGAAAAGTGTTTGACACTTCTCAGAACACAATTTGCACGAGCCTTCACATCGGAGAAGGGTCCTGGTTCCGCATTTCATATTCCTGTAGCGGCTACTCCGGCTGCTGTTCTGGAACAAGTAGTACAATGGTCACAACTTCATCCACTAAAGGCAGATGCAACAAGAACAAAAATAGTAGGAGGAGAAGGAGATGGTAGTTATGCAAAGGATACATCAACACTTTCTATACCTTTAGTGACTGTTGTACGTTGGGTTGTATTGCGATATATAAGGACATTTTCTAATGAAGAGGAGGATGCAACAATGATGATAATGAATGGATCCATTCCTATGGAAGTTAATCCACTGACAAAAGAGGGGTCATGGGATAACAAATTTCTAAGGAAACAACAAGAGTTAAGAGATACATTAGGTGATATTACACTTCTAGAGAAGTTGTTTCTTGCCATGACTCATGGTACGAGAGAACTCTCTGAAAGTGACGCCAAAAATGGATGTTATAATCTCCTTGGAATGGAAGAACTCTTTCAAACACGATCTGTTCATGATGAACTTGTGGAAGTGGCATTTCGTCTGACTCTGCGGGAAATGCATATGAATAACGCCTCATGTATAACCGAATTGTCTATTTTTGCTAAGTTTATTGAAGCGTATGCAGATGCTCTGAACCTTTATTATCATGTGATGATGTGCAATAATGAAAACTGTGATATGGAACGTATGTATGGAGAACCGGCTCCTGACTTGGAACGAGAAATGCTATCTCATGTATTGCAAGTGTTAAAAGAGAAAAACAATGACAATAATAATAATAATAATGATTATTATTATGGCGATGATTTTATTTTAAAACTTTTTTCTTCTTTTGCAACGGAGAAGGAAGATGGGGTGCGTCGAGTTCCTTTCTTGAATTTCGCAGATGCATGGATAACACGACTCTTTCGTAAACAAGGTAAACACACTGTAAAAGACATCTCTGAACTAGCTCATGCTCTAGGGTTAGATGATAAGGAAAGGCGTAAGTCTCTGCTCGCTGTTCTCAGTTGTGATGAATGTGGGCATGCGAATGTGGCAGCAAGATCATTTGAGGCTTTAAGTACGGAGGTAAATTTATCACAATATTGTAATGCAGAGGAACTTGCATTCACTTGTGCACGTGAGGAATGGGCACTAGAGTTAGAAAGACAAGCAACCACCATTACGAATGACAGTATAGAAGAAATACCTTCGAATACAATAGAAGAAAGTTGGGCCTCTACAGATATTCTCTTGTTACGTTTACTACATGGTATCTATGGTACCTTTGCGGCTGTACAGGCATTAGAGCATGTGGCTCTAGAGAATGATGGGACTAGTGCAATGATCTTTGATTGTAGAAGATGGGAAACTACTACACCTGTACCATTGCCTATTCGCTTGCATGTACTGCATAAGGCAGATGAGATGTTGGGAGTAACATGTGTAATGGAAAATATGTATACACCCGAGAAGGATGTAAAGGAGAAGATTAGTTTATCCAGTACAGCCGGATCTTTGCTGCAATACATAGGAAATCGCTATGTGGATAGTCAAATGATGAAATGGAGACGAGATGCTTGGCGGCGTTTGCAGGAATTGTGGCCTTTACGAGATGAGGACCCAGAACGCCGAGAGTTGTTTAATATACTCACTAATGGAGGTATCCATGAGGTGCGTGTGTCTGCAGAAGAAGAAGCAGAAAAAGAATTAGAAGGAATACATACAGGAGGAATACATTATATTCCATTTGAGAAACTTTATCAACAATACGTCTCTGAGTTGTGTTGTATGATGTCCATAAGGGATTTCCAAGCGATATGTTGTAAGGCGGTGCGGGTGGTGGAAAAAAATACACCATTGTGTCTTTCTGAAGAAGATGAAATTCCCGCATTCCTGCGATATTTAATGGGATATATGCGGGTATTATGGTCGTTAGCTACACCTTATTATGATATATCGCATATGGAGACTACAATCTCATGGGCGGAATTACAGCATTGGTTGTTGCATGAGGCTGGTATTGTAATGGATGAGGCACTCACCTATTACTTTATGGAAGAGGCAGAACTCATTACTCCTCATAACCTTCCTGCAGCAACTAGTGAAGATCCCATTGACAATCCCAATGAAAAGAAGGATGAAAGACATGTGCGTGTGCGTATATTAGCAGAATGGTTTGCCCTTCGTGAGGCCTGCTGGACTTCACTGGAGACACGATTACACTTTTGGTTAACCACCCTTCGCGATCAGCTGCCCATTCACTACACACCCGAACACACCAGCATACGCCACACCCTCGCAGAAACCCTCTCCGCTGCAGATGATTACATTCCCACCACCGCCCTCACACGTACACTCCGTAGAGATTACAGTTTGTGGCGTGTGTGGCCACCTGAATTGGGCCCCGCTTTTGTCATGTTTGCGGTGTGGGAGACAAACAAAATACTGCAGCGGTCGGATCTGCAGGGAAGTGAATTACATCGTACGGATATTCGCTTTCTTCTGCGCTTTATCTACACATACTTGGATGTGCTGCTGCGTGGGGAACATCTACTGCAACAGGCTTCACAGTTGCCAACAGAAACAACAACAACAACAACAACAAAAGATGAAGATGAAGATGATAATGATGATAATAATACGAAACAGAAAGGTGTATTGTCATCGTCGCCTTCTTCTCTCTCATGGAAAGACACACGAATGCATGCGGCACTTCATACACTTCTGGAAGAGAAGGGTGTAGACACCACAGACATTTTAAATACAATGGATCATGACAACAATACCACGGATTGGACTACATCACATCTTGCACTTGTTGTGGCTCGTGCGAGTGTGGCCACCGCTCTTGCAGAGTACATGAAAACACAATATGGAGAACGATTAGACTCCATATGGTATCGACTGCGAGAGCGACTTCCCTTTGGGGAATCACAGGAGCAACGACTAAAACGCAAACAATTGTTTGCACGTATGGATATGTATAAACAACACTATCTTACTCTAGCGGATTTACACCGTGGTATAAGAGAAGTTCTCGAATTGCAAGAGTTCCGAGAGGAGATGGATCCCATTCTCTTTCATGCCTTCTTCGCTACTAAGGAAGTATCATTTGGACAGCAGGATGTAATTTATCTCACAAAGATGAATGAACACTTCATTACAGGAGCAGAATTCCGTGCTTTCCTGTGGTATATGTACACCTACTTTCAGTTATATTATATGTTTGATACTATCTGTGCAGTGCCGGAGAATCTCCACCTGGAAAAGGCAATTTCTATAGAGGCGTTTGTGGCATCGAAGCCATTGTTGAAGTCGTGGGGAGTGCGGGTGAATAATGCGGCGGTGGAGTTTACATCTATTAGCCGCAGATGTAAGGAAGATAAGGAATTACACTTTACGGGATTTGCCATGTGGGCCTCACAGCATCACTTAAACCCAGAGGGGTACTCACATGAGGAACCACTGTTGTTGTTGTCGGAAGATGAGAAGGCAGTAAGAGCAGTAGAAGAAGAAAAAGAAAATGAAAAAGGAAAAGAAAAGGTTGAATTACAACAACAAGAAGAAGAACAGCTACAGGAACAGGAATTGTGAATGTGAACATCCTCGGTACTTATTATTATTATTATTACTATTATTATTATTATTATTATTATTATTGCTAATAATAATAATTTATTTTTTTCTCTTTTTTTGTATATATATATATATATATATATATATGTATATATATACAAATGTATAATGTGTTTATTAGTTTAAGTCTTTCCTGTACCTTTTATTCAATTTATTTGGAAAGCCATGTAAATTAGTTATTAGTCTAAATACTCTTATGGTATTATTTTTCTTCTCCCCTCTGAAGGGATACGTGTATCACTGCGAACAATATTGGTGAACCTGTATCCCAAAAGGAAAAAAGTAAACAACAAGAATAATAATAACAATAACGAGAGTACAGTAAAATACATATACCCACTCGTTTACCTTATTTAACTGTATGATGTTCGCTATGGTTATATACAATTCCCCCCCTTTTTCTCTCTCTCTTTCTCTTTCACTCTCCTCCTTCCTTTATTCTTTTCTCCTAAATACTCTGTTTATTTATTTATTTTTTTCTTTGTCCTTTTCTTCTTTCTTCTTTGATTCTTCCTTAGAGATGCCACCACAATAATAACAGTTGCAGATTGACTACTAAATAAGATTTCTCTACGATACCCAGTCCCTCTCTCATCTTCAAACCACGAAAGGACCGATGGAAATGTGTTTGATGTCTGTGTAGAATCAACCAATTTTTCTTTTTTTTTTTTTTCTTTTTTACTTTTCTCCTTTATGTTTGTAGTGTATAGACGTAAATAATTACACTGTATGTAAAGGAGAAAAGTAAAAAAGAAAAAAAAAAAAAGAAAAATTGGTTGATTCTACACTGAACAAGGAACATAGTATAATCGTAATCTCTGTCACTACCTCTCTCAAATACCTTTATTAATAATATTAATAATAATATTAATAATAATATGGTATTACTACTATTATTATCATTTATCATTCCTAATAATACTATGTATTGCTTCTACATCTATGGGTATAATCCACCCAATTAAACTTGAAAGAAAGTCTTTTCCGCATCTTTTCTTCTTTTTTTTTTTTTGGAATAACCGTAGTCAGTATAACAAACCAAGAATAAAAAAAACAACAAGAAAAATAACAACAACAACAACAGAGAAACATATAAACGAAGAAAGTAAGTTTACAGATATATTTGTATATATAAGTATATATATATAAATATACACACATATACGTGCGCACACAGAAGTAAGTACGCGAAGAATAATCAGAAAACAAAAAAAGAGAAAAAAAAAAGAGAAATTGCAAAAAAGAAATGACATCGCAATTCAGCAAAGACGAACCGTTAGGAGGAGAGATTGATCAGTTTAACCGCACGACGAGAAGTCAAGTCTCTTCTGCTGTCAGTATTGATGATGAGGAAAAGCGAAACATTTCACTCGCGGATGGCCATAGTGAAGGCGATGTAACCGAATTATCCCATCAATCCGCAGGTTCGGATGGGGCGAGTTCCAAAAACAAAGCCGGATATATTCGAGAAAACACAAATGTTTACAAATCCGCTTTTCATATATTTAAGGCCAATGTAGGCACAGGTGTATTCTTACTACCAACCTTCTATAAGGATTCTGGATATGTTATGGGAGCTATTCTTGGTATTTTCATTGGTACTTGTGTGATTGATGCCTCCTTTATGTTATTAAATGCCAAATTGACCATTAATCAGCATCGTGTGGATACCTACAGCAAAGTATGTGGATTTGTTTTTGGTCGACCTCTTCAATGGTTATTATTTGTGGCACTTATCCTCACCCAATTTGGTTTTTGTTTAATGTACATCCAATTCGTGGCAGGAATGATGGATCATTTGGTGACTCCTTTTAATGGATCATCTTATGTATGGATGACCATGACATTTGCCATTGTGTTTCCCATTACATGTTTCTCTGATAATTTGTCTTTATTGGCGATTGCATCTATTACCGCAACATTGGCAGTGACATTTGCACTTATTTCCACACTTGTACGTTCTATTATTGAGATTCATTCCATGGGTGGTATTAACTCTGCTACCAATGTGGCAGGTACGAATATGCCTATTGGTTGGTTTAACAATCTCGCGAATAATATGATGGTGTTGGAGGGAATTGCCATTGTTCTTCCTGTGTATGCTGGATGTAATCAGAAATCCAAGTTTAAACCCATGTTGGGTATTGTACTTGCCTGTGTTGTGGGTTTTTATTTATTATATGGTATTGTGGGTTATCTTGCCTATGGGGATCATCTCACCAATTCTCTCATTGATGGTATGCCAGACGATGGTCTCTCTATTGCCATTCGCATCACCTTTATTATTAACTTAATCTGCACACATCCCGTACAATTCCAATCGGCTATTCAACTCATTGATCAACTCATAGGTTGCCGTGCTCGTTCTCTTAAAGGCATTCTCGTTCGTTTTATTATTAACGCGGCTATTACAGGTCTTGCAATGGGAATTGGTCCCGATACCGTAAATATTGTTGTCAGTTTCATTGGTGCTCTTCCCGCCACGGTGATGGTGTTAATTATTCCAGCGCTACTCAATCTGCAGGTGTTTTATGCGGTGAAGAATCCGGAGGAGGACCGGGTGACGCTGGCGTATTGGAAGAAGATCTTCACAGATGGACCCATTTGCTCATGGCTGCGCTTCCGCTGTTATCTCTACCTTGTGCTCGGCCTACTTATTATGGTCATTGGTACATACAGTATTGCCATTAACCTTTAAGAAAGAAAAGAAGAGAGAAATGAAAAGAAATGAAATAAATGAGAAAATGAAGAAGGAAGAAAAGGGAATGGGGGGTGGGGGGGGGTGTAATGTCTGTATATACCATCTGTAGAGTGAAGTGAGCAAATAGATCGCAAAAAAGAAGAAGAAAAAAAATAAAAAAATAAAATAAAAACAAAATAAAAACAATAGAGAGAAAGTGCGTGAGAGAGAGAAAAAAAAAAAAGGAAACGACTGTTCTGTGGCATTTCATGTTTCGCTTCTTTTTTTTTTGTTTTTACTTATATAAGTATATTTATATATATTTATATATATCTATATATA